TACGTTATTCACGTAGCTGAAGTTGCGTACCTTAGTTCGATTTGGGGGTTTAGTGTAGACCAAGCCTAAAAGTGATTTGCCCAAGGCTAGGCAGAGAGACTGTAACAGAGTCAGCAATGCACAGTCTGGCCTGTCCTCTAATTACTAGACCATCTCTCTTTAGAGGTTGTCTCGTTCATAGACTGATCCCAATGGAAAGCCATGGAGCTTTCATCCACTTCTTTGTTCTGGGATGTTGTTCTTAAATCCAGTCCCATCTATACATATTGCAGTTGTGCAGTATGTGTTCCTGGCAGTAGGCTGTGCTTTGAGATTGTAATGTGGCTCAGAGTGGGCTTGGTGTTTGGCAGCAATGTGCATGGCTGAAATAGTCAAACGAGCCTAAAGGATTTGGGTGGTGAAATCAAGGGGAATTGGGAACCTAATTCCCCTTGGCTCCTTTGAAAAACTCCAGACAATGTTCTTTTCTCTCCAAACTGAGGACACTGTCTCTTTCATCCTTCTAGTCTTGTGTGTCAAAGCTAGTTGCCAATAATCTGCTCCAGGCCTTTGGTGTGTTTTGGTCAGTCAGATAAGAAATGTAAAAGGAAAGAATTCTTGAGCAGTGCTGTCATCTGGGCTGCATGGTGGTGAGACAGGCTTAGCTAATGGTGCTGCATCCCTCTTTCAGTCTGAATTGATGAATTATGGTGAGGTCTCAGCCAAACCCTCCAGCATTATGGCAGGAGCAGGACTGAAGAGGCCTTTGCCTTGCGGGCACTGAAAATGGCCACTCCTCTCTTTTATGGTGCTGATGTCCTGATTCAATCACTGGTTATTCAGCTAGTACGCTATGCTCTCAAGCAGGGCATTTTATATTCCTCCCTGCTGTGGGTTTGTTTTGTGTTTGTTCCAAGTCTCCCCAGAGTCCCTGACTGAAGACCCACCACCAGCTATTGTTACCAGGGTCTGGATGGTGACTCCATCATTTCAGTATTTGCTATTGAGCAGTTCAAGAGGCTCTCTCCTCTCAAGGCCCAAGTGTGAATCCCGCATTCTTCTCTATGTTGGTGTTTCTAATAAGCCACCAGGGTGGTATTAGGGCATCAATGAAAGCAGCTGACATTTGAACCCAACTATATTAAATATTAAAAGGATTGAGACTCTCTGAGCTGGATTGTTCTTGCCATAAAGATGAAGGATGAGAGGACAGATTGTCTTGTAGTTAGAGGTCAGGAGATCTGGGTTCAATCCCCAGATCAGCCACAGATTCCCTGAATGGTAAATGACTTTACAGGTAAAGAAAAATGGGAATAATTCTGCCCTTTATGATCTGTCTTGCTTATTTAGATTGTAAGTTCTCTTAGGAAGGGACTGCCTCTTGCTGTGTGTCTGGACAGTGCCTGGCACCATGGGACTCCAATCTTGGTTGATGTTATAGTAACAAATAATAACCTTAAAGGATAGAGCATGTAAATTGTAAATGATTTTAGGCTGCTTTTGGAATTCTCAGGGAGGATCTGGGGTTGTTCTACTCAACTTGTTTGACTCAGCTGGAGGCTCTCAAGGTTAATTTGTTTAACAAAGATCTCTTGCACAGGGGAAGTGGATTGTTCAGTCATTAATCCCTGCACCTTCCTAGCTCTTGTGGACTTCTGGCTTGGGTTAAAAATTAACCTTTTCAATACTAATTCTGAGGGCTGGAAAGTTACTCCTCACTCCCAAAAGGAAAGGAGTAATTTTGGGAGTGCCCAGATGAAATAAATGTGTGACTATAAATCAGCAGATAGGAAATATTCAGTAGCTGTGCCAATTAAAAAAGATTAAATTTTACTGATAATCTGTCTGATGTTAATATATAAAGCCCTTAATAACCTAGATCCCCTGTACATGAGTGAATGCCTCTTTCCATTTAACGTATATGTTGTCTAAATTTCTATCTAGTCTATTTACTGTAAGGGGCAGAGAATATCTCTTGCTATGTGTTTATATGAGCCCTAGCACAATGAGGCCTTAGTCTTGGTTGTGGCATTGGGGCAGTATTGTAATAAAAATGCAGCAGTAGAAAGCAACAATCAACCCCCACCATAAAATTAATATAAGCCAAGCAGTCTTCTTTCTGACTACCGGCTGAATGTAAAAGCTTTCCAAGGCACCAGAGGGGAGATTGATTGCAAGTGACTCCAAAAATCAGAGCACCAAACATACTTTAGGTGTGAATAAATCTCACCTGGGCCTGTAGAAGTTAAGTGAGCCTAAATATGTTCTCAGCTGAACTGAGGTCTGTTGATTGGTTCCTCCTGATAAACACTTACAAATTTTGATCCTGAGTTATGCCAACCTCCCTGGGGCCAAGGTGTGTCAGTCTATTTCAGAGAGCACAGATGTTTTTGTGGTGACTCATGAGTTATCCCTCTTCCTTCAGGCACGGTATTACTTGAAAGACCTGTCCTAACGTTAATGCAAATGCTTCAGAAGTCTGAGGGGGGAGGTGACATGGTTTGTGTGGAATCAGGACACCTGGGATCAATTCCCACCTCTGCCTCTGTTGCAGTTTGTTTGTTGTTTGTATTGTGGTAGCACCTAAAGAGCCCCAGTCATGGATCAGGACTCCACTGTGCTAGGTGCTGTGCAAACACAGAACAAAAAGATGGTCCCTGCCCCTTGCAATCTAAGTATAAGATAAGAAACAACAGCTGGATACAGACATGCAGGAAACACAAGGAAACGATGAGATGCTATTGGTCAGCAGGATAGGCAGCGGTCTGAGCACATAACTTGACAACACTAAGCAGGTGATCTGACTTGATGTGTGATCTTGGGCAAGACCCTTTCCCTCTCTGTGCCTGTTTTCCCTGCCAGCCTCTGTTTGTTCCTTTTTTTTTTTTTTTTTTCTATTTCAACTGTACAATCTGCAGTGGGGCAGGTTTTTACTGAGTGTCTAACACAGTAGGGCCCAGATGTCAGTTGGAACCTCTAGGTGCTACCATAATACAAATAATAATGTGTAATCGGAAAGGCCCCACTTTGCAGATGTTTAACTGCATTAAGAGGAATAGCGTGGTTTAAAAACGGCTGACAGCGGTTGGGTCCATAATGTGACTTTTATACCCTACGTTAAGGAAGAATGTTTAAACACTGTAACAGAGCTAGTCTAGATCCTGGCTCTGTTGAATGTGGCCAAGGCCTAACAAGAACATAGAATGGAGTTAGTACTTCTTCCCAGGCAGTTCCTCTGTGCACAACATGACATCAAGAACAGAAGTACTTGCAGAATGCTGCCTGCTTATTGTTTAGATTGCACTAGCACCTAGAGCAGGGGTGGCCAACCTGTGGCTCCGGAGCCACATGCGGCTCTTCAGAGGTTAATATGCAGCTCCTTACCTAGGCACTGATTCCGGAGCTGGAGCTATAGATGCTAACTTTCCAATATTCTGGGGGTACTCACTGCTCAACCCCTACTCTGCCCCAAGCCCTGTCCCCACTCCACCCCTTCCCCCGAGCCTGCCAGGCCCTCCCTTTCCCCCCATAGCCTCCTGCATACGTGAAACAGCTGATTGTGGTGGGAGGGAGGAGTAGGTGCTAATTGTGGGGGGCTGCCAGCAAGAGGTTCTGGGGGCTGGGGAGCGGATTTGGGGCTGTTGACGTATTACTGTGGCTCTTTGGCAATGTACATTGGTAAATTCTGTCTCCTTCTCAGGCTCAGGTTTGCCACCCCTGACCTAGAGACTTCAACTAATATCAGGGCCCCATTGAGCTGGGTGCAGGATTGCCAACCCTCCAGGAACGTCCTGGAGTTTCCAGGAATTAAAAGATTAATCTTTAATTAAAGTTTGTCATGTGATGAAACCTCCAGGAATATGTCCAACCAAAATTGGCAACCCTAGCTGGGTGCTCTAAATATACATACTAGAGACAGTCCCTGCCCCGAAGAGCTTACAGTCTAAAGCAGGGATTGGCAACCTTTGGCCCGCGTCCCGCCAGGGAAAGCCGCTGGCGGGCCGGGACGGCTTGTTTACCTGCCGCGTCCACAGGTTTGGCTGATCGCAGCTCCCACTGGCCGTGGTTCACCGTTCCAGGCCAATGGGGACTGAGGGAAGGGCGGCCAGCACATCCCTTGGCCCGCGCCGCTTCCCGCAGCCCCCATTGGCCTGGGACGGTGAACCGCGGCCAGTAGGAGCTGCGATCGGCCAAACCTGTGGACGTGGTAGGTAAACAAACCGGCCCGGCCTGCCAGCGGTTTTCCCTGGCATGCCGAGGGCCAAAGGTTGCCGATCCCTGGTCTAAACAGACGACAGCTAGGAGAAAGAAACTAGTAGTATCTCCAGGGTGTACACTACTAAAAATAGTCTCTTTAAACAATAGTCCCTTGTCTTTTCCATTGCATTTGGCAAAGGTATTGATGCCTGTTTTGCCTTTGTCCACTAAACCAGGTTTGAAAACACCTTTGTCAGCAGCTTAGTGCACCCATGTTACCTCTCTGGGAAACACGGTTACCAATGCAGGAGTTGCAAACCGTATTTAGGCCAAGTACCTCAGTGTGCAGAGGCTGACTGTGCTATAGTTGTCTAACATGGTTTAAAGCTGGTAGCGAAGACCAGGCTGAAGACATGTTGGGCCAGATCCTCAGCTGCTACTGTATATTGTCATAAAAACAACAAGGAGTCCGGTGGTACCTTGAAGACTATATACTGTATATTGTCATAACTCCATTGGCTTCAGTGGAGTTACACTGACTGACATCAGTTGAAGATCTGGCTAATTGTATGATAGAAATACTCCGCAGCCTGGAAGTGCTGGGTTCTGGAGAGACCTCCAGGAGTTCTGATCCATGCTCTTGGTCTGAGTCCACAGGAGGTTGCCAGCTGTGGGGTTGTGGTTCTTGTTTGTTCCCTCCTTTTTCCTTGAATCTTCTTGATTCACATTCTTTTCACAGCCAGTAACCAGAAAGGGGGCTAATTGTGGGTGTGGGGATTGCTGTTTATCTGGGTGGCTTGCTAATGCTGCAGGTATGGTATTTTATCATGTAATTAGTTCTGCAGCTGCAGGACTTGGTGGTGTTGGGCAGCATAACAGTCAATGATTTTATCCCCTGTGGGCGTTTTCCTGCATGCTAGTTCTATGAACAACTCTATCACACTAATTGGAATCGTATGGACGGGTTATTCTGTGTGTGAACAAATTCTAAAGTACCTGAAGAATGTTCAGCCACTCCAGAGTGCTATATTCCTCTTCTGTCTTTAAATATCTTCCCAGGGTAAAGCTTTTTGTCTGCTAGAACCTTTTTGTCTCTTCTTGGGAAACTTTGGAAATTGCACTGCATTTGTTACCATGCTGAAATAAAAAAAACCACATGATAATAAATCAACTCATGAAATTCTGCCAATGCAATGGGCAGGCTCCATTGGTTTGTATAATCCAAAGGTTGTTACCTCATTTTACATTGTGTTCTAAATCCTGCTGGCCAGCCATTCAGTTGTTGGGTCTGTTCAGAACATTACTCCACAAAGTCTTGAGGCTCTCAAACTCCCATTGAAAGCCTCTGCTCCCTTGGGCCCCCTTGACTCCCCCAGAAGTAAGGCTGGCATTTTCAAAGGGACACAGTCCATTTAAAAATCACACTCCTGTCTCCTGTCAACTGTTTGAAATGGGCCACCCTGATTACCACTACAAAAGTGATTTTTTTCCTCCTGCTGATAATAGCCCACTTTAATTGAATTGTCTCATTAGAATTGGTAAGGCAACCCCCATCTTTTCATGTACTCTGTGTATATATCTTCCTACTGTATTTTCCATTCCATGCATCTGATGAAGTGGGATCTAGCCCACGAAAGCTTATGCCCAAATAAATTTGTTAGTCTCTAAGGTGCCACAAGTACTCCTCGTTGTTTTTTGCTGATACAGACTAACTTGGCTACCACTCTGAAATCTGACTCCTGTCTTGAGTCCATCACCCCACAATTTCCTGAGATGCATGGAGGCATCTCAGAATACACAGCATCCACCACATAATACACAGCATCAACTTCCCACAAGGTAGTTTGCCTGAAAGTGTCTTGGAGGACACTAGGATGCCTACCCACAGTGCAACATAATTTTGCTGATACAACTTGATGCTGTGTAGACACAGGACACTGGCACAAATGGCCAGATGTGAACATGCTCTGCCTAAATAGTTTTGTTAGGCCATGTCTATACTAGTACTTATGTCGGCAAAACTTGTTTGTCTCAGGAGTGTGAAAAAACACACCCCTGAGCGATATAAGTTTTGTCAGCATAGCGCTGTGCACGTGAGCATTTAGGTCGGTGGGAAACACTCTCCTGCTGATCGTTGAGCTGGTTTTATTATGTAGAGGGGAGAGCTCTCTCCCATTGGCATAACGCGGCTACACGAGTGATCTTACAGCGGTACAGCTGTGCTGCTGTAAGCTTGTAAGGTATACATATGGCCTTAGTGGCACTATGCAAACCGACCATTTCCTGGTACAGATTGCTAGCATAGATAAGGCCTTACTGTTGTTATAGATAGCATAAGAGAACTGTGTCTGTTTCGGGTGGGTCCTTCACACAGCAGGGGAGAGAAAAACACATAAAGTTAAGTGTTGTTGGAAGATATCTATGCAGGTGAGAACTACATGCAGCGGAGAGCAGGTCCAACTGGGGAGGTGAGGACTTAGTACAGCTATGTATACTCATCAGGTTACATGCTATGCTTTGCTATTAGGTCGTTTGGCTAAAGCTGTGTAAGGGGTTGTGAGGTTCAGTTCTCCACTTATGCTGTTTATTCTTGTCTTCTCTGTTTCAGTGGGGCTTGCCTAGACCAATAGTTGCCAAAGATGGCAGAAGAAATCATCACCCCAGTGTATTGCACAGGCGTCTCCGCTCAGGTCCAGAAGCAGAGGGCTAAGGATCTAGGCCTGGGGCAGCATGAGAATGCAGTGAAGTACTTGGGCCAGGACTTTGAGAAGCTTCGGAATGCATGCTTACAGAGTGGAGCCCTCTTCCGAGATGACACCTTCCCTCCTGCAGCCGCCTCCTTGGGCTTCAAAGAATTGGGTCCAAACTCCTCCAAAACCTATGGAATCAAGTGGAAGAGACCCATGGTGAGGCAAGAATTAATTCCTCCCACGTACCACTTATGGGATGTATTTGTTTGTGTCCTATGTAGAGAATCGCTCCTGAATCTTTTTCTTTGGGCAATCAATGAAACAAGGAAAGTTGGGTTTTTTTTGTTTGCCTCTGTAAATTCTGTCATGGTGGAATTTTCAAACCCATATAGGCAGTGTTTTCTGGTGGTTAGAGCCAAAGAACTAGCAACTATTCTTGTTTCTGCCATTGATTTAGCTGATTTAACTGGCAATCCACCCTGATTCCAACAATTGAGTGCAGTTGCTTAATTAGCACCCAGGGTTTGCCATGTTGTATCAGATCAATGCTACTAGCTTAGTAACCTGGCTCCTGCTGTTTCAAATCAGAGCAATCAGCCATCTACTTTGGTATCCAGCTTCTTGCTGTACTAGATTGGACCATTCGTAAGATAAGTCTGGAATCCCACTTGTAGCAGAGGCTGATATCTGGTGCTTCAGAGGAATCTACTTAGTGAATTGTGCAGTTTTTACTGCTGCATGCCTGTCTAGTCATTAAATCATCCAGCTCTCTTTAAAATCCATAAACAGCCTACCTATCTATCTATATGGCCTTTCCACTGTAGTATCTGAGTGCATATAGTGGCGAACTCTCTGACCTCCTGCAATGCCAACTGCATGCTTTGTGAAGATGTTTTTCTTTGTATTCCTTCTACATGTGGAGCACCTGTTATTAAATGTGAGTGATTCCCCTGTGTTTGTATTATGAGACACAGCATGGAGGAGGAGTTTTTGTTGTTTGTATTGTAGTACTGTCCAGAGGCCCCAGTGGGGAATCAGGGCCCCATTACAATAAAAGTATTATATATTGTATTACGCAGCACCTAAAGAGTCCTAGTCATGGACCAGGACAGGACCTCATTGTGCTAGGCTCTGTACAAACACCCAACAGTAATTCTTTGTCCTTCTTTCAAAAACTGTCTCTAACCAGGATGATTAAGAGACTTGGGATACTTACCATGCACATAATCCTAAATGTTCACTGGGCTGCCATTGTGAAAAAGTGGCCACATACTTCAGGGTTAACAAATGTAGATCAAAGGTGATGGCTTTGCCTAGCTGGACTGCATAGCATTCTAAGAACTGATATCCCAGTCACTGAAACTTTAAAAACCAAACTATGTTTTGTTTCAGGAAATGTGTTCCAACCCGCAGTTCATTGTTGATGGAGCCACCCGCACAGACATCTGCCAGGGAGCGCTCGGTAGGGATGCTGCTGGCTTCCCCTTGGGGGGGTGTCTCGCTTATTATTAGTGCTGGTGTTGAGAGACAGGGAAGACGGGAATCTGGGGGCAGAGGTTGGATTCTTGCTGCTGGAGAAATGTTGCTCCTAAGTGCTTGCTTGTTTATGCTTAGTGGTTTCACATGAATGCTGGAATAGGTGCATCTCTGAAGGACTCTTAAACATGACTAGCATCTCCTGCTTCCTTCTTTCATAAAGCCTTTAGAGATTATATGCTTTAATCTGTATGTCCATTTCCCTCTTCCCCCCCCCTCCCAATTCCGTGTTTGAGGAAGGTGGCCCAGTGGTTAGGGTGTTAGCCTGTGATTCAAGAAACCTGTCTCCAATTCCATATTTTGTGATGAACTTCCTGTGTGACCGTAGCCATATCGCTTAGTTTCTGAGTGTCTGAGTTTTCATATCCGTAAAATGGGGATAATGGCATTTTCCTCCATCACAGGGCTGTTGGTAGGATAAATAAGCTAATGATGCACTCGGATACTACAAAAATGGGAGCCTGAAAGTAACCTAAGAATAAGATAGAGGGACAAATATAACATTCAAACATCACTGTTCTAACAGAGAATCCTTGTCCTGCATATTCTTAAATTGGGGATAAGGTCCATATGAATTAATGTAATATACCTCTACCCTGATATAACGCGACCCGATATAACACGAATTCGGCTATAACGCGGTAAAGCAGTGCTCCAGGGGGGCGGGACTGCGTGCTCCGGTGGATCAAAACAAGTTCGATATAACGTGGTTTCACCTATAACGCGGTAAGATTTTTTTTTTTGGGCTCCCAAGGACAGCGTTATATCGGGGTAGAGGTGTAATTAAATTGTATTGTGCAAGTACCTAGGAGCCCCAGTCACAGACCAGGATCCGATTGTGATATGCACTGTACAAACACAGAACAAAACAATGGTCCTTGCCCCCAAAAGCTTACAATTTCATCTCCTTTATGCCCCAATTCTACAATGAGATCCTCCTGGGCAGACTCCTGTATGGAGCTCCCGATAACTTCATTGGGGCTCTCGGAGGGACCCATACACATGGAGCTTGATGCAGGACCTGGGTCTTGGGCAGGGACTTGGCATATGAGTGCACAGAGGGGCCTGAATGTTTCATGATTTTCCCCTTCCCCCTCATTATAGGCTGCCATGAGGCCTGCTGTGCAAATCCCAGTAATTCCAGGCTTCCTTTGCAGCGTATTCCTGCAGTTATTAGTTGTTCCCAGCCCTGCGAGACTGCATGCTCCCAGTTCATCTCTTCCCGCAAGCTCTGGTTTCTAGTGGGCTAGTCCAAACCATCAGATCACCAGGTGTGACTTTAAATAGTACAGTAGATAGATGCTGTGTGTCACATTAAATCCATTCTCCCTTCTGTGAAATATCACAGCTCCCTGAGCACAGAGAAGTGTGTGTGTGTGGAGGGGGGGAATAAGAAGGGGAAACTGTACTTTTTTCTTTTTTTTTCTTCTTGCAACTACACAATGAAGGGCCACTGCCCCAGTGCCATTTTTACAAAGAAATTAGATCTATTTGGGACTGACACTGACTTCTAACCCTCTGAATTTCCCCTGGATAAAAGGGAGTTAGTGATATGGTCAAGCTAAATTGCTTTCCAAGTGGTTTTAAGCCTTCTCTGCAATGTGTCTGACTCAATAACGATCTCCCTTTTTGCAACTCAAGGCCAGACCACTGTTGGCACATTACACATAATAGAGAAGGAAAAAGTGCCACAGAGATATGATTCTCCCCGTGAGGTTTTAAAACAGGCAGAAAGGAAAGACTGGTCCTGCCTTTTGCTGAGATGAAATGGTGATATTCTGTCTGGTTTCCTTTACTGTAGTTTCTATTTAGTTTTATCTTTTTGTGTGTGTGTGTGTGTGTGTGCTCTCTCTTCTCTGTAATGTTCTCTAAGATCCCCAGCCTTGAATTACAAAAAATGGATGAGAGAGAATATTTCTGAGCTAGAGAAACCTAGGGCTGGAAATGTACAAATCTGCGCCATTACCTTTGGATGGATTATTCTGACTTACTGCAGGTTGGAGGCTAGATTTGGATTAATTTAAACCAGAGGGGATAGTGCTCTGAGACAGATGGACTCATCTACACACACAAGTTGTACTGCTCAAACTATATCAGTATAGTTAAAGCTGTACAACCCCCTCTCCCTTCCCTCCTACCTCCAGTGTGGCGAGAGGTTGTACAGCTTTATACAGTTATACTAGTGTAAAGGTGTTTAGATCAGTATAGTTTATTCCTCTTCCATTCAGGAATAGTTATATTAGTATAAGGCACCTTTATGCCAGTATAATTGCATTCACACTAGGGACAGTACTGCTATAACTATACCTGTTTAAAATATATAGTGTATATGTACAAAACCTGTATGTAGATCAAGAGTGAAATTTTCAAAAGTGCCTAAGTGACTTAGACCCTAAGAGCCCACATCTCTCTGTCAGTGGGATTTAGGGTTCTAAGTGCCTAAATCCCATTTGAAGATGAATTTAGACACCTTTGGAAATTTTACCCGAGGCCTTTTGGGTTATGGGCTACTCCTGTAAGCAGCAACCCCTTCTGCAGAGTCCAGTCTATAGCCAGTTTGAATCACGCCTACTGCATGACTCTATTTCTATTAAAGGCAAGATTAGGGCCATCAAAGCAGAGGATGGGAGGGGATGGGAGGGTGGAGGAGTCATCTATATAATAATAATACTGTGCACTTATATGGCGCCTTCTATCTGAGGATCTCGGTGTGCTTTACGAGCAGTAATGCTTAACTCTGGCTCTGAATTTTGACCAGAAGAGGGGGTGCCTTAAGATTAACATGAAATGTTCCTAACCCAGACACAAACCTAGTTTAGTAGAGTTCCCACCCCAGGAGAATACTGCACTCTTTCCAGGTATTGGACGCTGCCTCTGCATTGCTCCCAGACCCATTAGTCACATTTTAAATCAATACACAATGCAAAGATGCAATCAATTAAACACAAAGAAGGCATTTTCCTCCCATGATGCACGTTTTTAAGGGTATCTCAATGGGAGGAAAGTCTCTGAATTTGAAAGGTGTAACAGCAGCTGCACTGGAGTGATGCAAACTTTGGAGGCATACCAACTGGATATTTAGTACACTGCAATGAGCTGTGTTCACCAGTAAGTTTGGCGGCAGCAGTCCTGCTGCCTGTGTTTTTTCTAGCCTGGGATGAGTGCTGCCCTGGATGAGGGAAGCCCCCTGACAGCTGCAGTCAGCATGGGGGCATGTATGTCTGCACTATGCCCCTCCCTACAGCAGATTGGCAGTTGGAGCAGGAATGGAGTCCAGCTCTGTTCAAATTCCATGAAACTTTAAATATCCCAGGAACACACGGGGTGGGGGGAGTGGGGGAATTAAACAATGCAGTTCTGATGTCCACTGGGGGTGTATGTGGGAGGAAAATGGCATTAACAGCACCTGGCTGGTTGCCAGCTGTCACAGCTGTTTCTGAAAGTGAGTCCCAATACAGCATTCTTTGGACTTAAAAAGCCTCATCTGCTTGTCCACTCCTTCCCATCTGCTGCCAGCCTTCATCCATCTACTCCTTTGCCACTGCACTGAAGCAGTCTTTAATCTGTCCCTCTGAGATTGTGCAGAAGCAGAGGAGGCAGCAAGTGTGGGCCAGCAGAGACCACTGAAAGAGCTTTGTAAGGAGCTGGCAGACAAGGTGGGCAGCCCCACATCTGATACTAAGTAGTTTTCTGGTCCCCATTAAAGGTGAACAGCAAAGCGACAAGTTAAGCCCAAATTGCTATGGTGACCTTGGACTTGTCAAGCTGTGGGAACACAGAAATTGCCAAACTGGATTAGACTAGGGGTCCACCTAGCCCATTCTCTGACAGCAGCCAGCACCAGCTGCTTCAGAGGAAGGTGCAAGAAATCCTATAGTGATCAGAGATCCTACCCCTCAGGAAACTGCCTTCCTAACCCTGTTTGAGATTGGCTGATGCCCTGATGCAGGAGGATTGGTAATATCCCATCTTCATTTTGTTTTTAATTACTATTGTAACTTTGGAGAGTCTCATTATCCATATAAATATCCAATCCTTTTTTAAATCTTGCTAAGCTCTTAGCCTTATGGATATCTTGTGGCAAGGAGTTCCACATGCTGTTCCACGGTGCTATGTGGGGATTTTTTTTGGCACAAAAATAAGTTGTAAGTTATCTTTAATAGATATTTATTTACACAGTGTGTGAACTCTTCCCAAGCTTCACTTTGACCACGCCTCCTGGCACTGACACCCTGGGGTCTTGTTCTTTAGCTAAGGCAGTGCTGTAATGGTTAGATCAAGGAGCAGTGAGATAGGACTCCAGGGTTCTGTTCCTGGCTTGGCTATTGATTTGCAGCTCAACCCTGGGGCAAGTTGTTTCACTGCTTCATGACGCGTTTTTTCCACGAGGACTGACTGCACAGACATACAGGGCTTTATTGATCTTTTCAAAAGCACTTTGAGATGAAGGGTGCTATGGACGTGCCAAGAGTCACTATTTTTATACCCTTTCCCTACAGTCTCCTCGGCTGTGCATAGTGGCCTTGTGATGGTACTAGTCATCTGATACTTTGTCTTCCACAGCAGGTCCTGAATAAGTGTAACCAATTGTAGTGGCATAGTATAAAGTAAAACCTACCCTGGCGGAGATCCTCACCCCCATTCTGGCCCCTTCATGCTGGATAAAAGAGGCTCTAAAAGCTCCATATCTGGCCAGGGGAGGAACGTGCAAGCCCTGGCATGGGGGGTTAGGGCTGTGGGCACTGGGCCGGGTGTGTGTGTGTTAGGTGTGGGGCCACAGTCCATAGCGCTCCATAGATTCTGAGCTGAACTGCGGCCCATAGGGCATCCCCAGGAGGCTGCCATAAGTTAGGCTCTTGGAGCCGTCTCAGTTATGCCCAGGGCTGCTCCAGCTTCCAGAGCAACCTAGGATCACGAGGGTTGTTTAAAGCTCCCCTCTCCCTGGGCGGTGAGTTCTGGACCAGCACAGGATCTCACCTCTCCCAACACCCAAGCAAAAACACTGTGCAAAGTGCACAGAGAACTGGATAAACTTGCTTGGGGACTGCAACTTATGAGGTACCTGGTCAAACTGTGAGGGGGCAGAAGCTCCAGTGGAAGGAAATTTCTCCTCTCATCTGCATGGAACTATGAGTTTTAGGCAACTTGCAAATTTGAGGGCCAAAATGGTTGTTTCCCTTATGCCCTTCACCTTGGATGTTCGTATCTCTGCCGAGTAACAGCCATAGTGTAGAAATCCAAGGGGGCTTCCATCATTTTTGATCTAAAACACCAAGTGGATATCAGACTTTTGCTGAGTCCGACTAAAGCCCAGAGTATTCCATTCATCATCAGCATTGCCATATTTTTGGTGCCACGTAAGTGAGAAGAGCAAATCAGCAGCAAAACTTAGAATGATCAGCTTTGGAAAACAAGGGTGAGGGTGTGTGAGAACTTGCAGCAGGAGGCTTAGGAGAATGTCTGCGCGGGAGCCCCGGGCTGCTCTGACTCATGTGGGGAATTGTACAGCTAGTTTTGGTTAGCTGCAAGAATTGATGTGTGGTTTATGCAAATATCTTTCTCCCCAGTGGGTGCCTGAGTTGCCAGATGGCTCTGGTAATTTACAAGCCTGAAATCTTGCACTCCATTATGTTTACTGCTTGGCACATTTTATTCTCAGGAGAAAAATAAAAAGGTAACTGCCGCGTACCATGCAGTTATTTGATCCAATGCAGCTAGGTTCTGCTGAAGAAACGGTAGTGTTATTTCCCATCCTTGGCGCAAATTGGACTTCCTTGACTAACTTTTCCTTCTGCCTTCATTCAGGTGACTGCTGGCTCTTAGCTGCAATTGCTTCTCTCACCTTGAATGAAACCATCCTCCATCGAGTGGTCCCCCATGGGCAGAGCTTCCAGAATGGATATGCTGGCATCTTCCACTTCCAGGTGAGATGCTGGGATGTAAGAAAGTCTCACCTCATCTGGTGTTGGACCCTGCTGCTCCCTCAGTTTACCTCTTTCCCCAGTAAAACTGCCACAACTGGTGCTTTTGAATTACTCTCCCCTCCTGGGGTCTGGTTTATTTAACACAAAATAACCATTTAACTCAAAGCTAGAATCTCCCAGCGCCTTCTCCAAACTCAGCAGTTAAATTCACCCTTCCTGAGCTCCCAGTTCCTTCTTAAGGGCTTTGGTACCTGCCCTGGCAGCAGGTAGCTCTCAGCAGGTTCCATCCCTGTCCCACTTTGATCATGTATCCCCTGAAGGTGTTTCTCCCTCTTTATCTTTGCATCAGGGCCAAGATGTCTCTCCAGGCTTACTCTGGGCTTCTTCAGAAAGGTCTCCTCCTCTTTGAAGCAGGAAAATCTCTTATAGGAAGCCCCAGTCCTTGAAATACCATCGCATGATGCCTTGTCATGATTCCTGGCCAACCACTGGGCCAAACCCATCACATACGAGGCAGATAACTAGGTACAGATAGAGCTGAGGCCAACTCCCCTTAAAGGGCCAGCCCACCCTATAACACTTGACTATTGGTGTCATTCCCAAAGATGCCCAAGTGAAAAGTTTGTATATGTGTGAAAATAATGTGTGGACCAAAAAAGGTTCTTATCAGGCTGTGTGATACCCATTTTGTATCATGTTCATTGGCACCTTTTAACAGTTGTAACCTTAAAAACCACTGAATCACATAGACTCATAGACTTTAAGGTCAGAAGGGACCATTATGATCATCTAGTCTGACCTCCCGCACGATGCAGGCCACAAAGCCGTCCCAACCCCTTTCCCTTGACTCTGCTGTTGAAGTCCCCAAATCCTGTGGTTTAGAGACTTCAAGTAGCAGAGAATCCTCCAGCTAGCGACCCCTGCCCCATGCTGCGGAGGAAGGTGAAAAACCTCCAGGGACTCTGCCAATCTACCCTGGAGGAAAATCCCTTGCAAGACCCCTATTCTGGGCAGATAGGGAGGCCGTGAAAGGAAGAAGAGAGAATACCTGAGAGTAAATGGCATAGTGTCAAAGCGCCTCTTCACCTCGCTGAAAAAGGCACGAGAGGTTTTCATTTTCAAGCCGTACTGCTTGGAGGGGTCCCTTTTGTAAATGGTAGTTCTCTGGCCAGCATCCTTCACCTTCCCTTGTAGGACCAGCTTCCCCCAGAGTTTTGCAGGCAGGGGTAGAACATTAAACCTTGGTGGAAAGGTGTTGGCCTTATTTTGTTAAGAGGTTTTGGAAAAAGAGAAATCAGTAGCAACTTGTTACCTGCTAGAAACAGGGAGGTCTCTGGCAGCCTGGAGAGCTCAGTTACCAATGAGAAATGCATGTCTTGAAGCTGGTAGGAAGCAAGAAAGCATGTCACCATCAGTAAGCAAAGACCTTAGAACAACTTGTATAGGGCACTTGTATTAGGACTTTGTCTACACAGTTGTTGTACCACTTTTTCTGTATTAGTTTTAAACTGATATCGCTAAAGCATACAACTCCTGGTGTGGATACGGTTATACAGGTATAAAGCTGCTAATACTGGTTTAGTTATTCTCTCTCTCTCACCTGTTAGATTGTTGGCTCTTTAAGAAGAGACTTTTTTTTGCCTTTGTTCAGCACTGAGCACATTTTCAGTGCTAAACCACACCCGTAAGTGTACCTTGTTGGTGCAATGCCAGTGGCTATTGGGACAACGGTCCTAGTGGTTACCTTTGTGCTACAGTTCCAGCTCTCCACCCTCAGCAGGAATTCAAAGTTAATACTAATGTCGTTATTTATTTATTTTTGCTTTACCTGCACTGTTATTTATTTTGGGCGTAGTGCTGTACATGTGTATTTAGCAGGAAGAAAATTGCACTGATCTCTATCTAAACCAAGAAAGATTTGTTTGGCTAGTAAACCAGTTGGTTTAATCACCATTGAGCAATGCCCGTAGGGTAAAGCCCAAGACCTAGTGAATTTCACTGCTGTAACAAAGCTGATTCATCACGGTTACTCCCATTCTGTGCAGGGAGTGCCAGGCTGGGAAAGGAGGGAAGATGATGTGGGGTTGGAAGAAAGCCTGACGTTATGGGCAAGAGGGACCAAATAAAGAGAAGTTACAAACATTAGCTGCCTTTAGGTTTGGCCCATGTAGGCAGAAGCACAGTCTGAACACAGGACCACAAGTGGCAGTGGGAATCACTGGATAGGGCACTGGACTGGGACTTTGAGACTTGGATTCTGTTCTTGGCTTTGCCTCTGACTTGCCATGTGACCTTGGGCAAGTCACTTCCTCTATGTCTTTGCGTCTGTACAACATCTAGCACAATGGATCCCCGATCTCAGTTGAAGCCAGTAGCTGCTATTGTAATAATAAAGGACTGGGAGCCAGGAATGCTTGATACTAATACCAGTTCTGACAAGAATTTCAGTGCGAGATTTAAAGAGCTCAATCAATATAGCTGTTCAAAAAGAAGATGAAGAAGTGACTTGATCACAGTGTATAAGTATCTTCCTGGGGAAAAATACTGGGTACTAAAAGGCGATTTAATCTATCAGAGGAAGGCATAACAAGAACCAATGTCTAGTTAGAAGAAGAACAAGACACTAAAGCCAGACTAATTCCAGTTAGAAATAAGGCACACATTTTTAACAGTGAGGATGGTTAACCATTGGAACAAACACGCCAGGGAAATGGGAGATTCTCCATCTTTTACGGTCTTCAGATCAAGCTGGGATGCCTTTCTGGAAGAGATGCTTTAGTCCAGGAGTCGGCAACCTATGGCACGCATGCCAAACATGGCACGCAAGCCGATTTTGAGTGGCACACTGCTGCCTGCCCGGTGAGAGGAGGAGGAGGGGCAGGAAAGCACCATGCTGGGGGAAGAAGCGGGGGAGGGGGGAAGCTTGGTCCTGCAGCAGCCAAACTTCCCTTTTCCCCCGCTTCTTCCCCCAGCGTGGCACTTTCCAGCCTCTCCGCCCCTCCTCCTCCCTCTCCCTGCCGCCGATCAGCTGATGGCCCTTGCGAGGGGGAGGGGAGCGGAGCAGAGCCGAGCAGCAGCGTGGTCCCTGCTCCATAGAGGAGGCAGAGAAGAGGTAGGGACGGGGCCTTGGGGAAAGGGGATGGAACAGGGCATATCCCTTCCAGCCCCCTGTAATGAGCCGCTCAGGGCAAGGGGCTGGGAGCACCCCCATGAGCCGAGCACCCCAGCCCTCTGCCCTGAACTCCCCCCCACACACAGCCCAGCCCTCTGCCCTGAACCTCCCCCCCACACACAGCCCAGCCCTCTGCCCT